AAAAAGGGAAAATACTACTCCCTACCTTATGAGATCGTCGTCGGGTTAAAAAGATACAGTAATTCTGGAAGGCAGAAATCTAAGATGGTTCCCGAGAGTCCTACCCTCCCACCCCCGAGTACAAACCTGCATAATCTCCTCCCCTTGAGTGTGGGTGGGACCTGGCAATATGATGGATACTCACTCCTGTGATTACTGTTACTTATATAGGACCCTGTCATGGCAGACTGGGGAGCCTCTCTTGCTGGCTCTTAAGAAGGAAGCTGCCACGTTGTGAGAGGCCCGCATGGCTAGGACCTGAGGGTGGCCTCTAGGAGCTGAGAACCATCCCAATCCAACAACCAGCAAGAAAACAGGACTTCAATCTCACAGCTGCGAGGAATTGGATTCTGCCAACCATCTAAATGAGCTTGGCTTGGGCCCCGGGCCTCAGATGAGATCACAGCCCCTGCAGACACCTTGATTTCAGCCTGGGGGGGACCCTGAGCAGAGAGGCCAGATATGCTGTGCCTAAGCTTCTGACCTACAGAAACCATGAGATTATAAAGCGGCTTTTGCTTTAAGCGACTAGTTTTGTGGTAACTCGCTACTCTGCAACTGGAAATTAACATCATAATCTTAGTTTGAACCAAATTGCTACTCAAGTAGGTCAAAAACAGTTGAATATAGGCAACTGCATATGGTTCAGCCGAATACAGATGTAAAGCACCTAGCATGTAGTGAGCACTCAGTAAATCCCACTGTTCTCGTTCCCCCGGCTCCACTAACAGGGGCCTTGGAGTATTCAGTGGCTGGATGGACCTCTTTTTCCCAGCACTGGCTTTGACAGCTGCCACGCCCAGCTCCTCCTTCCCCAGAGCTGCCCTCCCCATGCCTGTCAGAAGAAAGCATTCAGAGCCCATTCATACCCCCTTCTGAGAGGCCCAGGGCACAGCTCCTGAGCTAGGCTGCCTCTCAGGCCCCAGGGCAGCAAACCGCCAACCTGAACCGACAGCAGAACAACAGCTGCCCACCAGCCCCGCCCACTGGCAGGGACCAGAGGGCCGCTTGAGAGATCCCAGCAGGGCCAAGCGACTGCCCACCTCTGGACCCTCCCCTCCTTGTCTTCCCGATGGGTCTCAGGAGCCCCACCATGTGAAACTATGTATCTCTTCTTCCAGCAGGACCCCCTTGGAAGTGCAAAGGTTTCCTGTTACATAAAAAATGCAAATCTCTCTTTCTAAGCAACACGGCCGGCTGGTCCAGATCCCTGCATAGAGAGACCTGAAAAATAGTGAGGACTTTGGAGAATGGGACTCCTGGACAGCTGAGTTTTGACCGGGTCTGGCAGGGAGGCTAACAGTCAGGAAAGGTCTGGAAGAGACCATCAGAGGAAGGAGAAGCTTGTAGCTCACATTTTCTACAGTGTCTGCTAGTGTGTGGTTCCACAAACCATTTACCCTACTCACCCCCAAAACAACGCCTCAGAATCTCTAAATGTACACGATATGTCAAATATATCTCAATAAAGCTGGAGGGGGGGAGGGGCGAATAAGAATCTCCAGATGGTTCAGATTTCCAGGACCCACAGAAACCCTGGGACCCAACTGGACAGATTTTTTTAAATTTACTTTCAGGTATCAAATAATAGGCAAATAAGTTACCATTCATGGATGAATCCACCTCATCCTCCTAGCTGTGATAAGAATTAGTGTGCATCTTTTACAGATGAGTAAACTGAGGCACTGGTTAAGTAGTTCATGCAATGTCACAAGGACAGGGCGGGGATTTGAACCCAGGTAGACAGATCCCACAGCTCAAGTTCCTAACCACTGAGCCAAACAACCAGAAGCTTTACAATATTTGACCCTGAATTTACCAAAGTTGGTAAAAACTACTGTTTGGGAGTAGACTATAGATCACACCCAAGAGATACTCTACCCAAAGCAGGGACCCAAATATGTCCATCCCACAGTGTCATGTGCGTTTAGGGGAGGTTTGGCCAGGCCTCCGCGGTGGTCCTGCGCTGGGGCTCAGACGTACCCTCTACCAGGCAGCTATGCTCAGTTAGGAGTGCCCGAGGATAGGCATGTAGGGGGTTGGGTCTTCTCCTAGGCAAGCGCAGAGAGGCTCCTGGGGCTGCAGGGGGTGGCAGGGACCTTCCTAAGGAGCATTCAGAGCAGAGCGGGAAGGTAACTGGCTCCCAGAAATGCTAATTTCCAGTTACCTGAAATGTTGGCTCCCAGCTGCCCATTCTAAAGCCCCCTGGAGTTCTCACCCCACCAACCCCTCTGCCCGCCTTACTATTTCCTGCCCACCAGAAGGGGTCACTTGGATGCTCAGGCAGGGCATCCTTTAGCCTCCTCTCCTGGGACCCTGTCAGTGGCGACCATGGGATACAGGGGAGGAAGCTTTATGACCATGGAGTGTAGAATATGCTGGAGAAAGCCATTCTGTGCAGCCCTCCCTCCTCCCTATGCTCCTCTTTACTCCCCCTTTTCCTTCTCTCTCATTCTCTCTTCTAGAACCTAGATAGTTGGGTCTGGTTGAGGCAAAGAGATGGATTTACAATTTCAAACCCACCCGGACTGTTTTCTTGCCTCCCCTCTGTTCCAGGTGACTCCTGCCTCCTCGTTCTTCCTACCAGAACCCACTTCCCACCCTCTAGCTTTCAGGAGACCACCTGAGTCAGGCCCTCCTCAGGCTGATGGATCATATCCCTTGAGAGGGAAGCAATACCAGGGGTGATCCCAAACTACATCCCCCAGGCACTCAGATGCCTCCCTAGGTACTTATCAGGCAACAAGTTTGCATGCTTTGGACACCTCCACTTTCAGGGAGCAAACAGAAGGGGCCAAGTGCTACTGCCTTACAGGAATCATCATAGCCACTTACTGAGCACCTACTATGTGCCAAGCAAGTGCAACGTAGTGTGCTGGGTGCTTTGCGATGCTCTACTCCTGGAAGTTGACTCCTCCAACGGTATTTGTTGAGAATCTGCTACGTGCCAACCACTCTTCTAAGCATGTGAGCTCCCTCAGCAAGTAAGATTTCTCGAATACAGGTTCACTGTGTGTCCCATTGACAAATGGGGGCGATGGAGGCTAAAAGTTTGCCCCAAAGGGGGGAGCAGCATCCATTTCAAGGTGTCGGACACCAAAGCCACCATGCCATGTGCTCTCTGCCTCCTCTCCTCTCCACTGCAGTGCAGGGTTCATGGGCGGGGAGCCAGGGTGGGGATCCCTGACCTCAAATGCTCATACAGTTGCTTTGGGGGAGGAGGGGTGAAGTCTGCACACCTGACATGTCTTCAGAGGTTGAGTGCTCAGTCTGTGAGTGACCCCCTGGCCCAGGCTGAGTACTCAGGACCCAGGGGACACAGAAGACTGTGTGATTTGGGCTGGGTGTCTCATGGGTGAGAAGGGTGGCTGGAAGTGGGGGGAGGCAGGAGGCTAGGCTTTTCAGGATGGGGGGACACGAACTGACTGAGATGAAGGAGGGGTGAAATCAGGATGGGGAATCGGCTGTTCAGAGCTCAGCGGTGACAAGGATCCGGAGACAGCCCTGACACAAGCCTGACAAGCTGGGAGGGAGCATCAGGCGCAGGGATGTGTGCTCCACAGGGGAGGGAAGGCAGGCCATGGCAACTGTTGATGGCTGAGGAGGTGAGACTGGAGCTAGTGGGCCATCAGGAATCTCCCAGCAGAGCAATGGCAAGATGCAGATGGTGTCAGGAGATAATTCTGATAGCGATGTGTGGGACCGTGGTGGAGACATGTGGGAGCTATCATAGGAGACCCAGGAAGGGCCCAGCATGGGGGTGGGGGGCAGCTATATTCCACCTTACCAGCACTCACTCCCACTCACCCTCAAATCCCCTCAGTCCTTCCCCTTCTCACACATCAGCCCAGTTCCTCTGGTTCTGTCTACACCCCCCCCCCCACACACACACACCAATGCCACAACTTTGGAAAAGAGGCCGTGAGGGTGAGTGAAGGGTCTGACCAGAGAGGGACCTGGACAAAAATGGGGTGGGCGACTTGGAACAAGGGCAGAGCCAGGACTAGGGAAATGCTGTTTGTCATTTGGGGCGGGAGGAATGGCCTCTCCAGGGGAATGTCAAGGGGGGCTGTGCCTGGGCTACAGTACCCCTCCCAGCCCCCCAGCCAGGCAGTGACAGGAGGCCAGTAGCCCTAGGCCATGCCTGCACTAGAGAAGAATCCCCCTTCTCCACCAGTACCCCCTTACTGCTTGGGGCAGCCTTCTCCCCCAGGAGAAACTGGGGGAGATACCCCCAAAGTCTGTGTGACATGACTGAGGATTTCGGGGTGGTAGCCCACAAAAACACACCTCGCCTCCCCTACTGGACTCCAAAATTCCACACTCAGTGTTCTAGTCCTTTGGCTTAAGATTTTGTACCTAAGTTATTGTTTGTTTGTTTGTTTAATGATGCCACTTGAAGTTATTATCAGTTATCCACAGCTCAGTATGAATGAATCAATCTGATCCTTTTCCACGAGTCAGTTTTGCTGTTGGAGGTGAAGAAAAGCTTTAAATCCTGGGGTCTAGGACAGGGGTGGGTGGGGAGGGGAGGAGGGTGGTGGGGCAAAGGAGCAGGGAGAGGAGAAGAGAGAAGGGCACAGAAGGCAGAGGCTGAGAAGGATGGGGCAAATCACTCACTTCTCCATTTGGGGAGGAGTTGATCAGAAATAGCCTGGGATAGCCTTTCACTACCTCCTTCTCCTTCCTCGGGCGCCTGGACCCCCCGTTCCTGTGTCTGCATTTCTCCTCTCAGCAGCCTGGAGTGCAAACTTTCCGCGATACGACCCCAAGCCTGCCTTCCCATTCCGCCGTCACCACCCATGGCTGGGCAGGGGCTCCCGCTGGACAGGCAAGGGGGCGTCCTGGAGGCAAGGACACTCTGAAAGGGGGCGCGCGAGGGCAGACGGTCCGCGCGGCAGGGGCCGCGGGGCTCCGGGTCCAGGGGCGGGGCAGGGGGACCCGGCCAGCGGGCGGCTCACCTGCAGGACACGGTGATCTCCACCTTGGTGGCCGGGATGCTGCCCGCCAAGGAGTCGAACTCGCTCAGCGACGCCATGTCCTCGGGCTGCTCCATCGCCCACCGCGCCCCCCACCCCCCAATTAGTCAATCCCTGCGCGATTCACGCCTCCTCCAAAGCGACTGAAACCCTGGGCTCTCCCCCAACTCCGGAGCCGGCGCTGGGCGGCAAAGGGAGGAGAGAGGAGCGCGAAGAGGGGGCGTGGGAAGTGAGAGAGGGAAGGGGGGCGGAGGGAGCGGGGGCCGCGGGTAGAGGAGGGGGTGCGGGTGACGCGACAAGGAGGCTGGGGGGCCAGCAGAGAGGGGCAAGGTGCCCAGGGAGCTGGGGCGCAGCGGAGAGAGGCAGAGGGGCGCGGGGAGAGGGCACCGGGAGGCACGCGCGGAGTCGTGGAGCCGGGTATGGGGAGAGGGGCGTGCGGCTTCGGGTGGGGACCGAAGGGGTGCGGGAGAGGGAAGAGGGGCGTGGGGGGCCGGATCGGGCGCTGGCGGCGGGGGTGGCCGGACGCCGGCAGCGCGGAGCCCGGAGCGCCGGGGCCGCGCCGCCTCTCGCTGGGTCTCGGCGCGGGCGGCAGCGGGGCCGGGGACCCGGCTGCGAGCGCCACCTCCTCGGCTCGGGCTCAGGCTCGGGCTCGGGCTCCGGGGCGCCCGGGCTGCGGGAAAATCAAATCTGCCCGAAGCCGCCGCCTCCCGCCAGCCGGGGCGGGCTGCGTGCCGGGTCCGAGAGCGCCGGAGGGGGCGCCCGCAGGGGCCGGGGCGGGGCCGCGGGCGGGGTCTGCGCACGGGGTGTGAGTGTGTCTGTGTGAGCGTGAGTCTCTGTGTGTGCGTGTGTGTGCGCGCGTGGCGGGCGTGGGGACGCGGCTCCAGATGCTGGGAGCCTGGGGCGGGGGGTGACAGCCAGAGACGGTCCGGGTCGTGCACTTCTCCCTCTGCGCCCACCCCCGCCCCCACCCGCTCAGGGGTTTCCGACTGGCGGAGGGAGAGGGTTTTGTGACCCACCGCGCGTCTGTTTGGGAAGGGTCTGTGCGGGGCTAGGTGGGAGCGACCTGCGCAAAAGAGACATTACCTCCCCCAAGAAGCTTGGGGAGCTCTTTGCTGAGGGTGCGCCCCACGGGGCGGGGGCGGAGCGGGTGTCAGTCTATAAACAGAATCACATCTCTTCTGGAGGTGTGTGGGGGCCACCCAATGCCCAGAGGGGCCTCCTCGGTTTCCCAGGGAGGGCCTTTGGGCCTAGGCAGGGTCTGTGCATGGTTGTTCCTTCATCCTCCTCTGGCTCCCGCCGGGCCTGGCCGCCCCGAGTCAGCCACCTAAGCCACACGTCAGCTCCCTCCCCATCCCCGGCCTGTCGTGATCACACAGCTGACCCAGCCTCTGGGGTCTAGAAGCTTCCTCCACCAGACTGAGAGGGTGGCCGGACCTCCCTGGGCTCCTACCCAACCAGCACCGAGTAGGCGCCTGCCGTGTGCTGGGCTCTGATCCCTGCCCTGAGAGTGAGGGGACAGTGGAGGCACCTCTCAGGCGCCCCCCACTCCGGAACCAAGCCCTTCATGGCCTCAGGGCAGGACAGGCCCCACCCTGCCTCAGCATGGCCCTTCCAGACCCAGGGTCGCCACGCTGTGGCATCTCCCCGGGGCTGCACGCATAGACTTGCCTCCAGAAAATCCCCCGCAGCCCCTCCTCAGCCTCAGTGCAAGCTTTGTTGAGATGGAGCCCCCTTTTCTGCTCCCACCGCACGACGCCCGGGGAGGGACCCGGGGAGGGACCCGGGGCGGCCGAGAGCCTGAGGCTGGACCCGGAAAAGCCACGCCCTCTGGGCCATGCCTTTGGTAGCTGGGCCCTAACTGGCGCGGGGAAGTCAATTCTCAGAACATTAGAAACAGCCAGAGTCAAAGATGAATATAAGAACATATTCCTTGGCCTAGGTTAAGTGTTTCCCGTTTAGCCACAGCTCCGGTTAGACTGAACTCCTTCTGCTACCTGCGACTGACACCAAGGGGGAGCGGCGCTGGGATCCCCATGGCAGTGGGGCAGGTGTGGGTCTGAAGGCCCCACTCTTGGTTTGGGCCTGTGGCCCTATCTCCCCAGAGAATAAATAATTCTGGCTTCCTTTCCTGAGAGATGCAATACTGGGTTTGTAATTTCTATGCCCTCCACCCTTTCACCCCCCACATAGCTCTCCTAGACAATGTTCCAAACAAACTTGTGGAATATGTTATCCATTCATTCCACCAGTATTTACTGAATACCTACTATGTGCCTGGCCCACTGCTAGAGCCACTTGGGAAACTTCTTGATAACCACCATTTTATTTTCAAAGAGCCTACTCCTGCCTAGACACCATGCTTAATTTGTTTTTTAAGATATTATTCCCATACAATAAAATTTACCATTTTAAAGTATACAATTCAGTGGTTTTAGTATATCTCACAAGGACCATATATGATTTTAAATTCTCAAAATATTATAGGTGTGAGGCATTACTATCTGCATTTAATAAATAAGGAAGCTAGTGGCCAGAGAGGCTAAGGAACTTGCCCATGAACACCAGGTGGGAACTGGTAGAGTGAGAATTTGAACCCTGGTCGTTGGGACCCAAGTTTGCCTCTTGGGATGGGGCCAGATGATGGTCTTAAAAACCATCTATGAAATCAGGTGCCTACTCCCAACCATAGGGAGCCATTGCAGGTTGTTCAGCAGGTGAGTAGTGAGACTGAAGCTCTATCATGTTACCTTGTAATGTGACAGCATCTGGGAGAACAGCCCCAGGGCCTCTTTCTAGGATTCTCTACTTGTCTGTTTCTCTGCATTCTCTCCCAGCCATTGCATTTCCACTGCTGGGTTTTGGCAAAACATTGTCTTGGGTACCTGTTCTGTGCCAGGGGCTGTCCTAGGCTCCTAGCATAAAGAGGCAAGAAAGATTTTCTCCCCAAAGAGTCCACAGGCTAGTAGGGGTCCCAGGACATGCAGACATTTAAGCCACAGTGCAGCATGAGGGGTGCTGTTGAGGTAGGTATAAAGGCCCTGGGAACAGAAGAGAGTGGCCAACAGTTCTGCCTCAGGAGTGGAACAAGGGACAGTCAGGGGAAACTGCAAAAAGAGGTGATCTGGGGGTGCCTGGGGGGCTCAGTCGGTTAAGCGTCTGACTCTTGATTTCAGCTCAGATCATGATTTCAGGGTCGTGAGATTGAGCCGGCAGCAGACTCCGTGCTGGGTGTGGAGCCTGCTTAAGATTCTTTCCCTCTCCCTCTGCCCCTCATCCTTCCATGAGCGCTCTCTCTCTAAAAAAAGATGATCTTGAGAAGGGCATTGAAGATGATGTCTGTTTGGCCCCTCCAGAAGCTGACCCTGAGAGAAAGATTTGAATGTAAGTAGTTTATTTGGGAGATGAAGGAAACACCCTGTGGGGAGGTAAGACGCATAAGTAGGCAATATGGGTGGTTTAGCAAGCCGGTTATCATGGGGCAGCTAGGGCTCATTCCCACGGAGGAGCGCTGGCAGACTAGGCAGAACACACCTCAAACTTAGCCCACCAGAGGGGTGAGGGAACAGGGGTGTGCATACACCAATTTTTTGTCAGTCATTGGCTCAGTAGCTGAGGGTTGCTGTTTTGTGACAATGTGGCTGGAGCACAGGGTGAAGGTGGAGGCAGTAGAACTCGAGGCCTGGAGGTGAGGGGCCATGATGCAAGGCCTCCTCCAGGCACAGGACCTTTTCAGAAGGAGACACTGAAGGACGGGTGGTCTGGAAGACCCCCGTCAGCTACATGGCCAACAGAGTGAGCCCCAGAACACAAAGCTGGCTGGTCAGGCCCAGGGCAAAATGCTCACAGTCCTTGCTCAAATGAATTGCCAACGATTTAAAAGCAGCCAGCAGGCATGCCGTTTGATGGGTCATTGCTCCTTTGAGGGATCGGCTAGTGCCGAGTTGCTGAGGTCACCTGGGACGCTCAGGCAAGCCAGCCGCCAGGCCAGCAGGTGCTGGGAATGTGTTGTCTGGGCCCAGCAGCCAGATCGGAACCGACCATTGCTCTGGCCCCGCCGGCCACGTAACCAGTGCTCGTCCCTCTGATTAAAAACTGTGAGCACGGAATGGGCCATGCCCAGAAGATCTGGAATAATCAGCATCAGCGCTTTGCCTTTGCCATCCAAGACTGCAAACACGCTCTCATCTGACCTAATCCGCGGTGTTAATGATGGCAGAGCAATTTCGAGAGGCAACTTGCCGCATTGATAAGAAGAGGAAAAGCACCACGGGGTTTAGGAGGCTGAGATCCTCACAGAGGAGCTAGCTGCTACCCACCCTCTCAAGACCCTTCGTGTAAATGTTGCCCTCAGATCTGCCCTGGGTCAGACTCGTGATGGTAGAAGAAGAGGGACACAGAAGAGCGGAAGAAGGACTCTGCGTGGGACAGGACAGTGGCAGCTGCCCATCCTGCACCTTAGAATAAACTAGAAAAATGTGTTCTGTACTCTGGGTAAATGAAACCCTGAGCCCGACAGGGCACATGGCTCGTTGAGCAGAGTGTGGGCTGGCTTTGAGCCTCCACTTACTCCCTTGGCTGGGTGTCATTGTGCGGTGAATACCCTCCACCACCGTACATGGCAGCCCTGGGGAGAAAAGGAAAGATAGAGGGCATGACAGAAACCTGAAGCCACCATGGCAGTAAGGAGGTGGGAGAGATGTAGTGTCTGATTCCATCCATTAATAGAAATGCTAGAAGGGGCTTGGTTGGAGACCATCTAGTTAAACCCCTTCTTTTACTAAGAAGCTTAGAGAGGGAGAATGATGCACTCAAGGTCACCTGAACTCTTCCTCTGATAAGAAACTCCACCAATAACAGCAAGGTCAGGTACCCAAGAACAGCAAGGACCTGCCTGAGAAGGTGTGGGGAGAAGCCATGTTCTATTGGGGTAGAGGAAGAAGCCCAAGCCAGCCACAGAGCTCTCCACACCTCCAAACACCATTCCTCCCTGAGGGTGGCGGTCTTCCAGCCAGACGCCCTACCATCGCAACCAGAACCCCACGCTGCCCCTCCCTTCCACTTCTCCCCAGATCATAGCACCAGCTAGCTGGGTCCTGGTGTCATCGGGGCAGAGAGAAGCCCCAGGATGCTTCCGTTGCCACCCAGCAGCCTTTCTTGCCCTAGGATCTGCCCCTCCCACCCCTCCCTGCCGTGGCATCTGTGGCAGCCCAATGGGCACTAGCTTCCTCTCTCACTTCCCTTGCTCTCTTCTTCCTTCTAGGCACTCAGGCTTTTCCAAGTCGGGGGAGACTCCCACCCCATACAGACTAGCTACTGGAATCTTCCCAGCAGCATGGGATCCACTTGAGACCAAAGTCAGGTTTTGGTGCTCATTTGCTGGAGATCCTCCCCTGGCTCACATGTCACTCTGTGGTAAGAGGACTTACTGGGCTATGGGCTCAGTCCCCTCCCCTCCCTGTGACCTCTCTGACTTCAACTCATCTTTCT